GTTGCCCAAACTCCTTTTATTATCATGCCTAATTAGGGCTAAGTCGATGCCACTACCCCCATGCCAAAATAAGTCACATATCGATAGTCTATAACATAAGAGACTTAGACCAATTTTTTTAATGTATGTATAATCAGACTCTACTACTAAGTCAAATTGTTGGCCATACATTTTACTCTATATTATATATATTATTTTTTATTTAATTTTATTTCAAATAAATTCTAATATATATGTATATTTAATCTTATATTTTTCTTATCTTATATAAATTCTGAAATAATGTCTAGAATATTGAAAATCATATGTCTAGAAACATAAAAATAGTATATATTGAGCTAATATTGATAATATGAGTCCTATAAATTAATAAATACATCCTAATTTAAAATAAAATAACACAGTATTTATTGATACACATTATACAAAAATTTGCCAATAATCTATATAAAAAAATTCTAACAATATTGTATTGTTTTTATATTTTTCATTAGTATATATTTTATCAAAATAATATCATAAATAAAATAAACGTCAAACTACGTCAAACAAAAAGCATAGTTAATTCTTAAAAATTATATTAAATATTACACTTGAAGATTAAGTGGTTGAATACACATACATAAATTAACACAAAGAAAAGAAAAAAAACAATAAAATAATAAAAAAATGTAGAGTTAGTGAAAAGCACCACATCTGACGTTGTACTATACAAAGAATCAAAATAGCGTAAAAAATTTGTCCATCGTTGGAGTACATTTACGCCAGATTTGTGGCATTTTACGCAACTCAGCATTGGAGTTGCTCTCAATGTTGCAAAAATTGCTAAATGCTTGTCAGATAATAAATGACGGCCAAACATTTTTAATTGTTATAGCCAAACATGTGTTAAGGTTGCCTAACTCGATTAGGCCAACTAATCAATCCCTAATATAACTAAACTGTTTGTCATTTTTTCATTGGAAAAAAATCTTTTTAACCATATATTAAGTTTTTCACACCACACAATTTAATTCATTTACTAAAGAAAATGTGAAGGTTAATGAGAATAGACCGCATAATTGTTTCATATTCATTGCATTATGCCTTCGCACTTTAATTTTTGTATCCCAAAAAGTGCAAAGTGTTATGCAAATGGACCGTAAACTATCACATCATCGCACAACTATCGCATATCCTAGGAGGGAGATGTTGGGGTAGAACACCAAACGCAGCGGACAAAAATACCCCTCCAACAAATATGGCAAACACTACTCCAAACGAAAATAAGCCAACACAAATAAATAAAAGACGAGAAATAAAAAGAACACAAAAATTGATAACGGAGTTCGGCGAAAATAGCCTACGTCTCCGGGCACCGCCAATCGCAACGCCAAATTTACTAAACTCACCAACAAAATACAACTAGGGTTAAATAACCCACAAATTAAGATTTTCTTAATTAAGGATTTCTTTCTAAGAGAGGAGAGAATAGAATAAGGTGCAATTGTAAACCAAAGGCAAGGGACTTATTTATACTAATAAGATCCTACACATCTTTGGTACATATCCTATGTGGGACAAACAATTAATCAAAAACTAACAATTCTCCACCTTAACTAATTTTGCTCCCACTTCAACTCTTCAATCCAAATCAACTGCTGGCGGTGCCTCCAAATGCGCCTCTCGGCGCCAACTCAAATATGCAGAATGTTGGTCAAGTCTAAACAATGTTCAAACTTGACTGTTGTCACTACCTTGGTCATCATATCTGCAAGATTCTCCGCTGTCTTGATCTTCTTCAACACAACGGTTCCATCTTCTAGAATCTCCCGCACAAAGTGATAGCGAACATCAATATGCTTCGTTCTTGCATGAAATACTTGATTTTTCGCGAAGTGAATAGCGCTCTGATTGTCACAATGCACTAAGATGTGCTTTTAACCAATTCCCAAGTTTTCAAGCAAACTTTGAAGCCAAATAGCCTCCTTCACAACTTCAGTAACCGCCATATACTCTGCCTCTGTTGTAGACAAAGCAACTGTTGACTGTAAGGTAGACTTCCAACTGACTGGAGCTTTCACAAAAGTGAACAAATATCCAGTCGTTGATCTTCGCTTATCCAAATCGCCCGCGTAGTCAGAATTACAATATCCAACTACACATTGACCAAATTCATCATGCTCATAAACTAATCCAACGTCTACAGTATTATGAATGTACCGTAGAATCCATTTCACAGCTTGCCAATGACCTTTACCAGGGTCATGCATATACCTGCTAACAACACCAACTGCTTGTGAAATGTCAGGCCTTGTACACACCATCGCATACATCAAACTGTCAACTGCATTTGCATATGGGACTCTAGTCATGTACTCTCGTTCTTCATCACAATTTGGCGATAATTGGGCACTTAACTTAATATAAGGGGCAACTGGTGTACTTACAGGCTTCATCTCATCTTTTATGCTGAAACGATGTAGTACCTTATTCAGATATTGCTTCCCCCAAGTCTTTCATCTCAAACTCTTGATTCAATTGAACCTTCAAATGATCAATCTCCACTTGGCTATTTGATGCAACCAACATGTCATCCACATACAAGAGTAAGTAAATGAAAGATCCATCTTGCAGCTTGCGTAGATACACATAATGATCATGTCTGCTTCGTGTGTACTTCTGCCCAATCATAAACTTATCAAACCGTTTGTAACACTGTCTTGGAGATTGCTTCAGTCCGTATAACGATTTGTTCAACTTATAGACCCAATTCTCTTTTTCAAGAATTTTGAATCCTTCTAGCTAAGTCATGTAGATTTCCTCATCTAAATCTCCGTGTAAGAACGCAGTCTTCACGTCAAGTTGAGCTAGCTCTAAATCCAACTGTGCTGCTAAGGCCAACAAAATTCTAATGGAAGAGTGCTTAACAACTAGAGAAAACACTTCATTATAATCAACTCCTTCCTTCTGAGCGTAGCCTTTAGCCACCAATTGTAGCGCACATAATTCTTATGAGGAAATCCATCTTTCTTTGCAAATACCCACTTGCATCCTATCGCCCTTTTGCCTTTTGGTAGTTGCGTCACCTTCCAAGTCTGATTCTTCTGGAGAGACAACATTTCTTCCTCCATAGCCCTCTTCCACTTCTCATTTTCTAAACTCCGAATTGCATATTGAAAAGTGAAAGGTATGTCATCATCAACAATTGAAAGTGCATAAGCCACCATATCCGCCAATCGAGCAGGTTGTTGAATCTCTCGTATGGGCTTTCTCAATGCAATGAGTAACTCTAATGATTCTTGAGTCTGTACTTCATCATCCGACATATCCTTTGATATTGGTTCGTCGATCATAGCTGGTCGTCTCGACATCGCATCTATCTCCACTTGCTTCGGTGTCAACTCCACTTGTTGGGTTTGCGTTGTCTTTATCATACCTTGTTCATCAAATGTAACATCCCTGCTGAACACATTTTTGTTCGTTTCAAGACACAAAAGACGATATCCCTTCACACCAATTGTGATTCTCATGAACAAAGCCTTTGTCGCTCTTGGATCTAACTTTGAATCCTTCACATGATAGAACGTAGGACACCCAAAGACATGTAAAGATCCATAGTCAGCATCAGGTTTCCCCGACCATACCTCAAACGGTGTTTTACCATCTTTTGCAGATGACGGCAAACGATTTATGAGGTGTTTCCCTAACTCTTGTTTGTTCTTCTTCCTCAACTCGTAGCTATACAGAGCAGAACTGACCACTGCAAGAGTTACATTGTCCTTCCCATAAAGCAGTGTAGTCTCCAAGTGCTCGAAGTCATCCGGAAGTGACGATAACAACATTAGAGCCAAATCTTCATCATTGAATGTGACGTCTAAGTTCAACAAATTTGCAACCAGCTGATTAAATGCAGTGACGTGGTCGTTCATCGATGTGCCATGCCGGTACTCAAATCGGAACAATCGCTTCTTCATGAGGAGCTTATTCTGACCGCTTTTCTTCAGAAATTTATCCTCCAAAGCCTTCCACAAAGTGTGAGCAGAATTCTCATTCTTGAACGCGTACTTCTGCTCTCTCGACAAACATGAACGGATTGCTCCACATGCTAAGCGGTTGATATTCTTCCAGTCCTTCTCTTCAATGTCTGTTGGCTTCTCTTTTTCAATGGCAATGTTGACGCCTTGCTGAAATAGACATCCAGCACCTCGCCTTGCCACATGCCGAAATGACCGGTCCCATCGAAGATCTCCACCGGGAGTCTGACGTTCGGCATCACCGTCCTTGCCGGAATAAATGCAGAGGATGATGCGCCCTTGACCTCCTTGGATATCTCGAACCTGAATGCAGTGCTCGCTTCTTCGAATAAGCCTAGGGCGAACCTTCGGCTCTGATACCACTTGTTGGGGTAGAACACCAAACGCAGCGGACAAAAATATCCCTCCAACAAATATGGCAAGCACTACTCCAAACGAAAATAAGCCAACACAAATAAATAAAAGACGAGAAATAAAAAGAACACAAAAATTGATAACGGAGTTCGGCGAAAATAGCCTACGTCTCCGGGCATCGCCAAATTTACTAAAATAACCAATAAAATGCAACTAGGGTTAAATAACCCACAAATTAAGATTTTCTTAATTAAGGATTTCTTTCTAAGAGAGGAGAGAATAGAATAGAATAAGGTGCAATTGTAACCCAAAGACAATAGACCTATTTATACTAATAAGATCCTACAGTACATATAGAATTAATCAAAACTAACTAGAGACCCTCAAAAGATTTCCGGAGGGGAGGAGATGAAACCTCCAGCCTCGATTCGGTTAGGCCCACTCCAGATTCTACGAGGGAGCTTTTGGGTAAGAAGGAAGAGGAAGTTAATTTCACCAACTGACTGGTTTTGTCCCTATTCAGTGCTCCAATAAACAACCCCGTTCTCCACGATTCTACATAACCCAGACATTTTCCTCCACTTTTATTCTATTCGGACCTCATAAATAATAAATTGCCGACAAATTTGGCTAATCATATATCCTCTTCTCCCTCTCCATTAACTTCGCCGGCAAATGGACTCCACCCCAATCGTCCTCGCTCACGACTTCCCGCCCTTCTTCCGCATCCACTCCACCGGCCGCGTCGAGAGGTACCACCGCCACGACTTCGTTCCCCCCTCCCACGAACCCCTCACCGGCGTCGCCTCCAAGGACGTCCCCATCTCGCCGGAGAATGGCGCCACCGCCCGGATCTACCTCCCCACCGCCGATCCCGACCGCAAACTGCCCCTCCTCGTCTACATCCACGGTGGCGGCTTCTGCATCGAGTCCGCCTTCTCCTCCATGTACCACCGCTACGTCAACGCCTTCGCCTCCAGATCCAGATCCGTCGTCGTCTCCGTCGAGTACCGGCTGGCGCTCGAGCACCCCATCCCTGCCTGCTACGAAGACGCTCATGCCGTGGTCGAGTGGATCGGGTCTCACTCCGGACCCGAACCTGGACCCGACGCGTGATTGAACGATCGGGCCGATTTCAGCCGGGCGTACGTCGCCGGGGACAGCGCGGGCGCCAACATCGCGCACGACATGGTCGTTCGATCATCCGTGAGTGGGGCCAGTTTCGGGCTCAGATTCTCTGGCCTGATCTCGATCCACCCGTTTTTCGGGGCGGGCAAGCCCGAAAAGCTGTGGGATTTCCTCTGCCCCGACTCGAAGGGGCCGGATGACGTCAGATTGAACCCGGCCGCCGATCCGGATCTTTTGGCCCGATTGGGCTGCAATCGGGTGCTGGTGTGTGTGGCGGAGAAGGATTTTTTGAGGAACAGAGGCTTGATTTACTTCGAGGGGTTGAGGAAAAGCGATTTTAGGGGTTCGGTCGAGTTTTTCGAGTCGGTCGGCGAGGGGCACGTTTTTCATTTGTTGGACCCGGTTTACGATGGGTCGGTTGTGTTGATGGACCGGGTTGTGGAGTTCATAAGCGGGTCTCAAGTTAGGGCGCATTTTTAGATTCCGAGTAAAATTGGGTAGTTTTGTGAAAATGTAAGGAGGATTATAACACCTGTGGTAGATTGTTTGGTGTGGGTTATGGTGTACGTTTCTCTTGTGATGACTTGATCAAAGCGATCTAGAAATGTGAATGTATATATGGTTTGTAATTAAACTTGTTAATATTATTCTATGATTAGAATTTTAGTACTGAAACTTGTTAATATATTATTCTATGATTAGAATTTTAGTACTGAGTTATGACAGGAAAATGCAAACTCGAATCGAGAAGTTCGAAAAGGAAAAAAAATAAAAAACAAGAGATATAACAAGTCCCTTGATCTATGAATATCTACGTAAAACCTAGTAATCTTGTAGTAGAAGTTCAAGTGTTCCATCCTATTAAAATTGTGCTGAAAGTGCCTAACACACCCATAGTTAGATGATAATGACATAGGGGTTGAAATTATTGAAGAAGAAAGTAACAAAATTAGAGAGTACAAATGATATCGAGAATATGAATTATAACCTAGATAATAATTGTGAAAATTCGAATGGCTTGTTCGATTCTAAAAATTGGGAGAATAATATTCCTCAAAGAAAGATTTTATTTTTTATTCGAGAAAAAGTGATTAGAGTTACTAATGTCATGTATCTATTTTTATAGTCGAAAAAGGGTTATTAAAGTTACTAATGTCATGTATCTTATTGACGATAAAGATAGAAGTTTCAATGATAAACTCTAAAAAGGATTTTTGTCGATGCGGAAAAAATAGTTGTGAAACTTTATTATAGTGACTTGATCGATAATTTGCACAAAAGAACCGAGAAAGTTGTAAATTTTTGTTATCTTAGTTTACTTTTGTTTGTATTTTTGTATTTATTTTTGGTAATATTTAATATTATTTGTTCAACTAAAAATTTTAAAATATAGAACCAACTCTTAAAATATTGTGGGCCTCTAAATTTCTGGAGTTGACCCTAATTGACATCAATGCACATCAATTGAAACCATATATGATGTTGCTATTAGCCAACTAGTCATAATTTTTTTTTGTATACAAAAATATTTACATTATGAAATATTATAATTTTTAATACCATTATATTTTAAAGTATAAGTAGAACATTCAAATATAAGAGTATACGTAAATTTATTATACTGCTTAACTAGGCGGCTAACAAATTAGGCAGCCAAACTACAATATTTTAATGCTTTAGTCATAACAATGAATGTGCCAAGCTTACAAAATTAATCTCTTTCAAGTTTAGTAAACAACGTGCTAACCCTGTCCATTTCCCTTCTAGCCAATCCTAGCCCATTTCATAAATAAAACATCAAGTAATGAGAGAGTAAATTTCCAACACAACACAACTTTATCCTTTATCCCTATATATATTAAAAAAAAAACACACAAAACTCTCCCTTATAGTCTTTAATCTCTCAATTTCCACATAAGTAATCACATTCACAATGCCTCTCACCAAAACTTTCTTCCTCATTTGTTCCTTCCTCATCTTCCCTCTCCTCTCAACACCAACAACTTCTACAAACAGCTCCCCCATAGCCTACCAAGTCCTTCCCTTCATAAGGGTCTTCAAAAACGGCACCGTCGAACGTCTCATCGGAACCGAAACCGTGCCCGCATCTTACGACCCCACGACCCGTGTCCTATCCAAAGACATATCCATACCCATCTCCCGAGCTCTCAACATCACGGCCCGTATGTACCGGCCCGCGAACGCCACCGCAAACTCCCGAAAACTCCCGCTATTATTCTACATCCACGGAGGCGCGTTTTTCGTCGAGTCCGCCTTTTCTCCCACTTACCACAACCACCTAAACTCCCTCGTCTCCAAAGCCAACGTCGTGGGGGTCTCAGTAAATTACCGTTTAGCCCCCGAGCACCCCCTCCCGGCCGCGTATCAAGATTCTTGGCACGCGCTAAAGTGGGTGTTCTCACTCGGCCGCGATTCGTGACTCGAGAGGTACGTTGATTTCGAGAGGGTGTACGTGGCGGGGGATAGCGCGGGCGGGAACATCGCGCACAACGTGGCTATTCGGGCCCGAATAAAACTAAAAGGGATGTTTCTCAATTGCCCGCGATTTTGGGGCAAAAAGTTGATCGGGAACGAGAGTAGGAACCCTAAGAGAGTTGCGTTCGTTGAGAGCGTTTGAGCCCACGCGTATCCGAATTCGACGGGTTTGGACGACCCGTTGTTGAACCTGCTTAAGGATCCAAACCTGTACAAGTTGGGGCCCAAGAAAGTGTTGGTTTATGTGGGTGAGAAGGATATATATAGAGATATGAGGGTTTGCTTATGTGAAGGCACTCGAGAAAAGTAAATGGGGTGGAGTTGTTCAAGTTGGAGAGGTGAAGGGGGAAGATCATGTCTTCAATTTGAATTTTCCAAACAGCACAAAGGCAAAGGTTATGCTTGGAAAATTGGCATTGTTTCTAGATCAAGGTAGAACATAATATATACATAAATATAATATACGTGATAATGTAATTTTCATGTAATACATTTTATATTGAACTTTGTGGAGAATGTCTACTAGCTACTAGATAAAGTAAAGGACTCATAATAATCTGGCTTGTAAATTTCTGGCAAAACTTATTTATTTATTTTTCGTATTTTGAGTTTCTTCTTGGTTTGATCAGAATAAATTCAGGTTGCAGACTTGTGTTCTTTTAAGTTTTAACGTTAGGTTGCAGACTTGTGTTCTTTTAACGTTTTCCATACTGTGCAGTACGATAGACTCTCATCGTCAAATTCGTAATAGTATTGCTTTGATGCTTTCAAATTCCATGAAATCGCATGTCTG